CTTCCGCTTCAGCTGCAGGAAGACGGTGACGGGACGGTCGATCTTGGGCTTGTGGTAGGGGGGCGTACGGAAGACGATGGCGTACTGTGGGCACGACAGAGGGACATGGAGTCCTGCTCCTCCCTGGAGCTGGGAACAGGGCTCTCCTACCCTGCAAGGCACCCACCTGCCTCAGGGCATGGCAGGACACCCCCCCACTTCCCCCATACCTGCTTGTGCACGTCAGTGGGGGAGAAGTCCCCAAAGGCCTGCCAGCCGTTCTCGTCATCCTCGTAGAAACGCACTTCAATGTCATCTGGGGAGAGAAGGGGCACTGGCATCGCCTGTCTCCCTGCCCCGGCCAGACTCTGGGGACACAGACCCCTGGCCACCCAGGGGCCCTGGATTTCTCCTGCCGCAGCCCCTCCAGAAGGTTTCAGCTGGAGGGAATGGCTTTTACCTTTCTGAACTTTATCACATAGCAAGTAGACCTCGTCCCCTCCCCGCACGGAGCCTGCCGTCTTATCCATCCGCGAGATCTTGAGGTTGGAGGCTCCTGGGGACTCTGCAGAGTGAGAGAAGGCGTTGGGAGCTGCTGTGGCAGACAGAGCATCCCTTACCTCCTTACCCCGTCCTGCTCCATCCCCTCCTCGGCCTGGCCCCATACTCACTGCTGTCATGGATGGGGTCCGAGATCACAGGCTGGAGGGCCAGCGTGAAGTTCCCACTGCTGTCGCGGAGGTAGGCAGTGAAGCGCAATCGCACGATGCTCAGGTCCATCACCTTCTTCAGCTCCTTTGCCTCCAGCTCGATCTCACGCAGCTCCGCTTCTGCCAGGGCAGGGCAGGTATCATCAGGCTAGGCGAGGGGATGGGGCTCCAGGTGCCCTCCATGCCCCCCACCCAGCCCCATGCTAACCCCAGCCCTCCAGTTGTCACCCTGGGCCACCGAGTCCCACTGAGGCCCCAGGCTGCCCTCACCCGTCAGCAGATGGCTCCTGTTACGCATCTTCTGCTGCTTCAGCTTTTCCTTCATGATCTCCATCATATTCTTCTTGGTGACGTGGAGCACACCCAGGTTGCTGAATCTGGAGGAGAAGAAGGATCCCACTGGGATCTGGGAGCACCAGGGCTGGGAGCAGCCAGACCAGGAGGCACACGGGCTCCCACAGCCAGGAAGGGGCTGAGCAAAGCACAGAGCGGTGCCGCTCGGGCAGTGGGGGGTCAACATATGCAGGTCATAAGAGGAGCAACCACAGAGGTGGCTGGGAAACTTCGGGCTCCCACAGGTGACAAGTCCAAAGGGGAGGACCAGGAGGCCTGGAGGCCAGAAGGGTGCAAACGGTACCAGGCTGAACCAGCAGCCAGGGCTGGATTTGTAAAACTAACTGCAGCAGTTGCCGAATAACCCCGTGGGCAACTCCGAGGACAGAGGCCCAAAACAAGCTGCACATTCCGGGCCCAGGACAAAATGCTCAGGGGACAGAGCTGTACCGATGACCTTGTGTAAACCCACTCCTGGCCCGATCCAGCAAACTCAGCTCCTGGATGCACTAACCCCCCTCTTCTCCCCAGCCCGTGAGCTGCAGCCCGCCCCTCCAGCCAGCCCACGCAGACAAGAGGCCACCCCAGGTCTCCCTCGCACTTACTGAGCCGTCATGTCCTTGGGTCCCACGATCGCAACGCAGTTGCCGGCCTCGTTGCACTGCTTGCCCACCAGGCTGTGGGCATGCACACGAGGAGGGTCGCTGTGTGTCACCAGGTCCACCTCGATCCGGGCCATCCCTGTGTAGTTGCAGATCTGCAGGGAGAAAGGAGGTGGGAGTCAGGTACAACACCCTGGGAGCCTGCAGAACTCTTCGCAAACCCCTGCTATCCCTCCCCATGGCCACCACCCCTCCTGCTGCAGTCCTCCCATCCCTCCAGCACCGTGAGACACACAGAGCTTAATATACAGTTCCCATCCTTCCTTCAAGGCTGCACGGGCTCCTCCCGGTGCCTCTGCACACCAGCTGAAGACACTGCTCCGTCCCCTCCTCAGGGCAGCGCTCACCTTGACGGTGGGATAGGTCTTGCGCCCCTTCTCGCTGGAGGCTCCTGGCAGCCCGCCGTGAGAAGGGCCTTCACAGCCATACCGAAACCGGAACCCCCGCTGCAGAGGCAAAGAGGAGGTCAGTCAAGGGTGGCCCAAACCTGATGCCGTGAGAGCAGAGGGTGACAGCTACACCTGCCCTTACCTGGGTGACATCCTTACCTGCTTTGGCTGCTCGATGATGACAAGGAAGGGACCTTCCACTGGAGGACAAGGAGGAGAGGCATTGGTGAGAAACACAGGATAACCAAAGTGCGTGCTCCCAGTAAGGATGCTGGAGGTACGGGGCCAGTGCTGAAGGTGAGGTGACCCCTGTGTGTCCCATAGGGGTCCTCAGGGCCCCTCAGCCCCTGCGCTGTCCGAGCCCGGCCGGGAGCAGTGGTCAGAGTGGCAGGGAGAGGAGGGAAGGGCCAGAGGATGCTCTGGCACTCAGGGAGTGGGGAGCCCCCGGGGACCCATCACAGCTCAACCTCAAGTTGAGCCCCGGGTAGACTGAGCAGTGGGGACAGACCAAACAGTCCCCGTCCCGGTGGCATGGGGCAGGGATTCCCAGCCAGCCCACAGAGGGATATAGCCCGTAGTGCTGCTGGGAACTACAAGGTGTGACTCAGCCTGCTGGGAAACCCCGCTGAAGCTGGGGACCCCCGGGAGGGCACAGCCAGAGGGGCCCTTACCCGTCTCCATCAGAGGCTCCTTCTGCTCCATCATGTGGGAGCCGAAATTGAAGTCATCGTAGTCAATCCCATCCAGGCACTGGGTAATGGGAGGGAAGATGAGTGTGATGGGTGTGTTGTGGCTGGAACC